CTGTTGTCCCCGCAGTCGTTGTCTGGAAGCAGGGGAAAGAAGAGAAGAGGTCAGAGACAGCTAAGCCCATAGGAACTGGTGTCACCACCCCCCTGGCTCTTTAAGCCACTGGGGGGGGGGCTAAACTCCTCCTGCAGGTGACAAGCAGGTGGAATGCATTCAACTTGCCAGCAGCTGCTCAGAAGGGCGCAGGGTATCCCCGCAAGCCTGACTTAATGCCATCTACCCATCCCATGCACAGTCCAGCCAAACATGCTCCACCCCTTGTCCCAAGAGCAACTGAACAAAGCAACTAAAGAAGTAAAAAAAATTACTAATAATAATAATGAAAAACGGAAACACAGAAACTGCATAGATCATCTCATGCACCATGGGGAAATGGGTGACGCAAGAGGGGAACTATCACTCCAGCGGGTTTTAACTGTGTGATTAAATGATATACACGTATGTATTATCCATGCATTTCATGTGCATGTGCATGGTTCTGACCAGATCGAAGTCAGGATATGATGCTCTTTTCAAAGTCTGTGGGGCTCATCGATTTTTAAATGAAGGTAGCAGGCAGTTTTCAGAGGGGTTTATCTTCAAAAGGTTGTGAGCTGAATCAAACTTTTGCTGTTTGCCCTGGTGTTATCAGAGTTTCTTTTCAGCACAGTGAACCCACAGAGCAGCAATACTATTCAGTTCTAGTAATTGAAATTCCCATTCCTGTTTTTTTTGCTCCTCCTGCTTCTGCCATTACAGTTTGCACACCAAAATCTAGCATACAGAAAAGTGTGCAAAGTGGCTGCCGACTGAATTAAGTGAACGTCCTGGACATTGACTGTGCAAAAAAAAAAAGTCGGTATTTTTTGGCTTTAGGTCTATCAGACCTGGAAAAAATCAGTAAATGCCAAATTTCCCCAGTCCAATACTGGTAAAGTATCAGGACTGGGGAAATATTCAGTATTGCCAAATATATTTGGGTCTAATATGCCCAACGGACGCGAGGCATGTTAAAATGCCTTCTTTCCCTCCCCAAGCCCCAGCAGCTTTCCTGGTCAATTTCACTCCCCCCCCCCCAACTCAGTGAGCGGTTAGGTTTAAGCCATTTAAACCTAACAGCAGACAGGGCACGGGAGTGAACCTGGCCATCAAAAACCTCCTCTCTCTGCCTTCCCTTCTCTAGCTGCCCTGGGGTAGCTGGAGAAAGGAAAGCAAGGGAGCCCAGGCATGTTTCCATGCCTGCCCTTGGCTTCCCCAGCTGACCCGCAGCACTGAGGCAGCTGGAGAAGGGAAGACAGAGACAGGAGGCTTTCCCTGGTCAGTTTCACTCCCACCCGCTTGTTAGTGTTAAATGGCTAAAACCTAACAGCTGACTGGCAGGGAATGAAATTGACTAGGGAAGCCACAGAGGGAGGGGAGTCGGCATTTGGCTACCTGAAGGCCGAAAAAGCCAAATAAATTCCAGAATAACCAGAGTCTTCTTTGACTCGTTAAATTATGCAGCCGACACTGCTTACTGCTCACTTAGTATTACTGCTTACTTAGTATTGGTGAGTGATTTATAGATTGTAAGGACTGTGTTATAACTTTTTGGATGTTTTAAGAGTTTAAGGTGGACCAGAAATAAAATATAATAAAGAAACAGATTTCCGCCCCCTTCTAAAGGTTGACTTTGGGCATCTACTGACGTTGTTCATGTGAATGTCTGAGCATATGGTCCTGTCACTTTCACTTCCATCCTTGGTTTAAACCATTTAAACCTAAAAGCATGTCCTCTGCAAACCTGAGCCTGATAAGGAAGCAGAGTTACACCCTTCTAAGGCCACTGGTTAATGGATTTAGAAGGACACCACTCTCCTTAGGATAGATTCAGGTGGGTAGCCATGTTAGTCTGAAGCAGTAGAACAAACCAGCTCATACCTTGAATAAATTTTTGCTGGTCTTAAAGGTGCCACTGGACTAAAAAATGGTTCAATAGAACAAAGTTTGAGTCCAAGGGCACCTTTAAGACCAACAGAGTTTAATTCTGGGTATAAGCTTTTGTGTGCACGTATACTTCTTCAGATACATTGAAAAGATACTCTGAATGTATCTGAAGAAGTGTGGGTGCACAGAAAAGCTGATACCCAGAATTAAACTTTGTTGGTCTTAAAACGGCCACTGGAATCAAACTTTGTTCTACTCTCCTTAGGACTATGCTGTAAACTTTACAAACTGGGACCTACTTGAGAGTAAATAGGCATAGGATCTTGCATGCACAAGCCGATGGGGAATCAAGGACCCTTTGCAACTTGAGCTAAAGGAGCAAAGACATCATATACTGGGAATGGCTCTAGTTCCTTTTTTACTGATGCAAATGATATTTCAATGGAAAAGCAAGCTCCAAAAAGGCTCCAGGGCTGGTGCATCGAACAGTGGTATTACAAAGGGCCAGACAAAATCAAGAACGGGCTGGTTTTGATTTGTTTTGGCCGGTCACTGGAATTGTGCAGACAAAAATAAAAGGCAGGTGTTTTGGGGAACAGAAACTGAGGAGTTGTGGTGCATGTTGATCTATGCACTAACCGGTAGCTTTTGGACAATTCTTTTCGTCAGAGCCATCCCCACAATCCTTTTCTGAAACACAGAAACCAACCAGAGAAGACAGGAGAGTGGGCAGAGTGAACGCATACACACACCCACGCACCCACATACACGCATACCCAAAATCAGGACCACTGCCATCACCCCACCCCCAGAAAAGGTCAATGCAAAAAAGAAAAGAAAAGAAAGAAATCGAATATGAAAAGGAGAAAGCAGGCATGTCAAAGATAGGCAATGAAAAAAAGGTCACCGAAAGAGTCATGTCAAAATCCATAAAGGGAAATCAGAAGCAATGGACAGAGTCCAGACCCCACTTCACCCTGCCTAGGGGAACGTGATAAAAGGAAGTACTTCTTCATCCAAAGAGTGATTAACACATGGAATTCACTGCCACAGGAGATGGCGGCTACAAGCATGGACGGCTTCAAGAGGGAATTAGATAAACATATGGAGCAGAGGCTCAGCAGCAGCTATTAGCCACAAGCTAGTCCATGGGGTCGCGAAGAGTCGGACTCAACTGTGCGACTGAACAACAACAAATAGATAGGGACTCTGGGGCAATTGATGCTCTGTCTTCTTGGTGCTTGGTGGGGGGCAACAGTGGGAGGGCTTCTAGTGTCCTGGCCCCACTGGTGGACCTCCTGATGGCACCTGGTATTTTTGGCCACTGTGTGACAGAGTGTTGGACTGGATGGGCCATTGGCCTGATCCAACATTGGCGTCTCTTGTATTCTCATGTATTCTAGGGAGGGGTGGGAAGTTATGAGACCTTCCTCAGGGATATCACAGTCCTCCTCCCTCCATTTTCAGCCTCCTTTAACTGGGTACTGATCAAACTGTAGAGTTCTAGATGGAGGGGAGTTTTTGTTATGGCAAATCATTCTGCCACACTATACTTTCAGCCTTTAAGTGGTATAATCCAGGGGAAACGTTAGCACTTTATTCTGGTGACTGTATACGCTACCTCTTTAAGATTCTGAGCCAGGGGGGGGGGGAACTGTCCACCAAGTCTCTTTGCAGAAACTTTACTGAGGTGTGAGCTCATTCCCCTAACCACCCCTCTTTCTCTGTCTGCATCAAGAGAAGTCTACTAAGCCCCAGCATTTTCAGGAAAGAGCAATCCAGTCATGCAATGTCATTAATAAGCAGTGGTTGCCCTCAGACTAAAAGGCAAACCTGATTCAAAGTCCATGCTGGCTGAACTTTCACATTATGAATATCAAAAGAGCAGAGCTCCCCATCCCACACAAAGAAAGATGATGCAGACTGGGACTCAGCCGTCTGCAAATCTACCCCTGGCAGAAAGGTCAGGAGGTAAGACCAAGAAGATCCCCATCCAAGACTAAGGGTTCAGCTACACATTCCTCCCCCTATTTTAAACATTCTTTTCTTCTTTTGCACATTCAACTTACAGGGTTGTCTTGTTAAGGAACAGAATGGCATACGAGGGGTGATTTCCTTTCTTTCCTTTCTCATTTTCTCCCTGGAAGAAAACCACCCCTAAACTGCTTTCACCTCCACTAGGGGAAAACCACAGGTGCCCGTAGATTTTCCCAAACAGGAGGAACACCAGGTCAGGGATGGCTTTTTCCAAGAAAATAGCAGGGGAGGAAAAAGTTAAACTCCCTGCCAACAAGCCAATCTCTTCCTTAATAAAGCAATCTCGGAGGCTGCCTTTGCAAAAGAAAAAAGGTAATTTAAAATAAACATAGAGGGGAAAATAGATAATGTTCAGCTGAGTCCTTAGGCATCTTTCATTGCCACTGCAAATTCACTGCCACAGCATGGACGGCTTCACTAACAAGCTTCATTTATACAATGCTTCTTCTCTCCATGAGGATCTCTTGGAGGACCAAAGGAGACTCACATGAACACACATGAAGCTGCCTTATATGGAATCAGCTCACTGGTCTACCAAGGTCAGTATAGTTTAATCTGACTGGCAGCAGCTCTCCAGGATCTCGGGCGGAGGTCTTTACTATCACTGAGCCATGGCCCCTTCCAGTTAAGAAGAAGAGATTGGATATATACCCCGCCCTTCACTACTCAAAGGCATCTCAGAGAGGCTTACAATCTCCTTTCCCTTCCCCTCCCCACAACAGACACCCTGTGAGATGTGTGGGGCTGAGAGAACTCTGACAAAAACTGCTCTTTTTCAAGAACACTGTTGACTGAACTAGGGCTTGCCGAAGGTCATCCAGCAGGTGCAAGTGGAGGAGTGGGGAATCAAACCCGGTTCTCCCAGATTAGAGTCCGCACACTTAACCACTACACCAAACTGGTTCTCCTAGTGTTATTATGTAGTTTGGATTTAAAGCAGCCAGAATACCCCAGAATAGCCTGAGCTCTTCAGAGCTCAGAAGCTAGATGGGGTTGGCCAGGGTTAGTACTTCCATGGGAGACCATCAAGGAAGACCTGGGTTGCTATGCAGAGGCAGGCAATGGCAAACCACCTCTGCTCATCTCCTGCCTTGAAGCCCCCATGAGGGGTGGCCGTGCATTGGTTGTGACTCGACAGAATTTAATTATTATTAATTTTGGATATGAGATAAATCTCTGGCTCTCATGTATGCATTGAGTGACCGGGTAATAGGTGATATCTTGCACAGACCACAAATATGGGAGAGGAGCCCTGGTCCCCCCTCTTCCCAAAAGAAACCCTCATTCTGCACTCTCTCCTTGATTCTGATCTCACCATGACAGCCAGTCTCACCAGATTCTCACTCAGCCATGCAGCACTTACCATTGTCACATCTCCAGTTGATGTTGATGCAGCGGCCATTGTGGCATGTGAACTGGGTCAGGGGGAAACAGGTTGGGTAGGCTGTAGAGGGGAGACAAGGATGGGAACCATTAGCAGGATTTCCACCCATTGGCACATTTGATACATGCGTATCATACACATAACACTCTTCAGAGAGTTAGGATTGGCTGCAGCTCTCTGTTGACCATCAGAAGAGCCCCTGTTGGATCAGACCAGCGATCCATATAGTCCAGCACCCTTTGCCACACAGCAGCCAGCCAATCCTTCTGGAGGGCCAACAACAGGGCACAGAGGCCAAGGCCTCCCCCTGGTGTTGCCTCCTGGCACTGGGATTCGGAGGTGTACTGCCTCTGAAGGTGGCGGTTTCCTGATAGACTTATCCTCCGTGAATCTATCTAATCCCCTTTTAAAGCTGTTTATTCCTGTGGCCATCACTCAATCCTCTGGCAGCAAATTCCACCTCTTAATCATTCTCTGTGTAAAGTAATATTTTACCCTTCGTAGTGGGGTTTGCTGCCACATAATGGGTGGACCGGCTTGCAGTCCACCAGTTTTGGGGATCTGCACTTAATCAGGATCATTTAGCCACAAATTCTCTACTACCTATTGTCTAATCCTCTGAATCCCAGAGCCAAGAGGCAACATAAGGGGAAGACCTCGGCCTCTATGTCCTGTTGTCGGGCCTCCAGAGGGACTAGTTGTCCACTGTGTGAGACAGGATGCTGGATGACATGGACTATTGGCCTGGTCTAGCAGGGCTTTTCTGACATTCTTATGTCCAGCACATGTAAGAGTAGATGTGGTACCAACTGGGTTGCGTGCCGCTGTGGGTATCCAAACATCCAGTATGGGTCTAATGCAGTGGAATTTATTCCAACACTCACCACATGTGGCTGACTCATCAGAGCGGTCCCCGCAATCATCATCCAAGTCACAGGTCCAAGACATGGGTATACAACGTCCGGTGGCACAGGAGAACTGGTTGGGAGGGCAGGTACGAGCTGAGTGGGAAGACAGAACAGGCCGCAAACAAAAGGAAAAATGTTAGCGACAGAGCCTAAAGGCTTTCCTGGATCACCTCAATTATGTGGGTATAACTGTTGAACATATCACATGGATAGATCTAATCTTGCCAAAGAAGAGAAGAAGAGATTGGATTTATACCCCACCCTTCACTCGGAGTCTCAGAGCAGCTTACAATCTCCTTTCCCTTCCCCTCCCTACAATAGACACCCTGTGAGGTAGGTGGGTCTGAGAGAGCTCTTTCGAGAACTGCCCTTGAGAGAACAGCTCTGAAAGAACTTGTAACTGAACCAAGGTCACACCAGCAGCTACATAAGAACATAAGAAACGCCAATGTTGGAGCAGGCCAAAGGCCCATCTAGTCCAACACTCTGTCACACAGTGGCCAAAAATACCAGGTGCCATCAGGAGGTCCATCAGTGGGACATTAGAAGCCCTCCCACTGTTGACCCCCCCAAGCACCAAGAAGACAGAGCATCACTTGCCCCAGAGCTCCTATCTATACCTTGTGGCTAATAGCCACTGATGGACCTCTGCTCCATATGCTTATCTAATTCCCTTTTGAAGCCGTCCATGCTTGCAGCCGCCACCACTTCCTGTGGCAGTGAATTCCATGCATTTCTCACTCAGCTGCATGTGGAGTGGGGAATCAAACCCGGTTCTCCCAGATTAGAGTCCTGCTGTTCTTAACCACTACACCAAACTGGCTCTCTATAGAAGGGAACTTGCTGGGAAGTGCTGCCCTAGGAGCCCTATGTGGGCTGAAAGGACAAAAGGGCTGCATCCCCACTGCTTCCCAAGCTGTCAAAGAGGCCATTCACAAAAGCGGGACAGGTCATGACACGACACTGCATTTCTTACATTACATCTCTATCCTGCACATCCGCCAAGGGCCGCAAGGTGCTCCTGTCCATTTTATTCTCGTAGCACCCAAAAAGAAAGAAACTGCCCAAGTTCATGGCAGTGTGGGAACCTGGGCCCAGATCCTAGTCCAACATTCTGACCACCAAACCATACGAGCTGACATCCAAATTCAGCTTGCAATGATAAGATCAGAGTACTGATATAAAGAAAAAAAATACTGCCCCGACCTGGATAGCCCAGGCAAGTCCAATCACATCAGATCTCAGAAGTTAAGCAGGGCCAACCCTGGACAAGTACTTGGAAGGGCGACCTCCAAGGAATACCAGGGCCACGATGCAGAGGCAGGCAATATGAAGCCACCTCTCTGAAATGTCCAAGCCCCACTAGGGGTTGCCAGAAGTCAACCATGACTTCCAGGCATGCAATTACACACACACACACACAAAATATTCACAAAAAAAGAAAGAAAGAAATACTATTCGGCCACTTACACACAGTGACCGTATCTTGTGTTTTCCTGTTGTCGCTGTGCTTCCTGTTGAGGCACAGCATCAATGGAGCTTCCTTATGGCAACATACTCCACTCTTTCCCCGTTACTACTGCAGTCTTTTCCTTCCAAGAGAAGATGCACTGGGAGCAACCAACACCACTCCAGCAATCACTGTTGGCCAGAACAGTCAGATGTCCCACCCTACCTCTTTGACTGAGGAGACTGCTTACAATCACTTGGGTATAGGATTATATCCACACATAAGTCCTCCCCACACCCCATCAACATGCGTTGTTGAAAGATACGGGAAGACATTGTTGCATGGCTGCTACATATTGTCTGTGTGTTTGTGGCACCCAACATGACTGAACGTGCAACTCCAAAACAAGACATAGCACAAGGAACTCCATTTATTTCCTTCTGCAGTAAGAGCCACGCAGGTCAGGATCACCCACTGCGATAGCCCTTCAGTGGCCTCTGACCAGCGGTTGAAGGCCATGCATCTGGAAATGAGAACAGGCAAGAGACAGCAAAGCCACAAATGGGAAAGCCACAACCAGGACCCATAAATCCTGCATCTTGTAAATAGCTTTTTGTAGAGATGTGCATCGGGATATTACCATCTCAAATGTACATCTGAAAAATACCATATTGGCATTTTTAAATATATATTCAGTGTTCAGGTTGATATTCAAGTTCGGGATACCGGTAAATGGGTCCTGGAAAAGTCTGTAAATATTCAAGTAATATTCAAGTTCGGGATGGTCCTGGAAAAGTCTGTAAATATTCAAGAATATGCAGAAATATTCGGCACCAGCATGTTAAGGCTCTCAGGATTGTTTTCTTCAGTTTTACAGTGTGTCTGTGTTAGTGTCTTCTTGCCAGGTATTGATATCGGCTGGCCAGGTTGGTTTGGCTTAGATTCTCTCGTTTAAATTGGTTCTGTTGGTCTTGCAACAGTGATCCCTGGTTCTGATTGGGTTGACTTGGATTCTCTGGTGTGACTGAACAGGTGTGCTGCGGCCTGCAAGCCCTCTACTGCCCTGCCCTCCAAAGTTTTCCCAACACCTGGAGAGGCTTTTCCTTCTCTCTCGGGTAGCCCCCCCCCACCACCACCACCACCTGACCTTTGTAGGAATTGCCCGCTGGGAGGATCAGGACTCCCAGCTTCCCTTCCAAGTGCTGAGGCCTTGCCTCTGTATCTCCCGCAGCCCAGCACCTGGTCACCACGGGCATAGTTTATGCCAGAAGAATAGCCACTTGCCAACTGCCTGCCTACCCCAACGCTTCTTTTAAAACAGCGTGTACAAGATGGTGGAGGACTATGTGGTACAGAGAACCGCTACCAGCATCAAAAGTTATAAAGTATTTATTAAAAAGAAAATGTTCACAAGCATTCTTTTAGCACAGCATCAGACTGAGCAAGGGATTAAAAAGAAATGGGTAAAACCCAACTCCTCTGTCCCTAGCATATAAAAGCTCCATTTTATGAAGTTACAGATCTCTACAGTGTGACAATTACCTTGAAGTTTTTTCCAGCTCTCCAGGCCAGCACATGGCTGCCTCCTCCAAACCTCGCCTAAGAGTTCTGCCTGCTCTGATGGACTCTGCACCAAAGAGTACTTTGTCCTTGCTTCCCTGTTTTATCATTTCTCTTTTCCCCACCCACTGATCAGGTCAGGCCAGGGCAAAGAGGCTTTTCCTGGTGATTCTTTCTGGAGTTCTTTTCTGAAGTTTCTCTAGTATTTAATTCCTCCAAATCTCTGTTCCCTGCTTGGAGAAGAGGGGAAAACTTGACTCACCCATTATCTCTCCTGCTAAATCTATTAGCGTTTGCAAGAAGATAAGCTGGAAAGCAATTGGACTGGCTTCCCCCCTTCCTGCCTGTTCTCTGCCCGGGCGGGGGACTTTTAAACTCAGAGTGAAGGTTTTGCTCATTTGAAACTTCCAAGGTAAAAAATATGTATTTCCTCACATCTGGTTTCACACTGGTTATGCTGAGCTTGCCACATTTCCAGGGGGTCTACTGGGATTCTCTGGTTTGATGCTGGTTTTATTGGGCTTGTCGGCTTTGTTTACATTGGGATGCTTTAGGGCAGTGGTTGTTTGGGTGATTGAGAAGGAAGGAACCACCCAATGAATTCAAATACCGATATGGTATTGGGGAGATGAAATGACCTGAAATACCAGTATTTATGTCCTTCCTAAAATCCAAATCCAAAAAATACAAAATTATTTTTCAGGTGTCCATCCCTAAATCTTTGCTTGCTTTTGTGCTTAAAAACCTGGTTGGTTTACAGGGTTTTTTTGCATTACAAAAACCCTGTTAATATATTTATAAGTAGTTCTTTGTTTCCTTGAGTGTTTGAAAATCTGAGTGCATGCCTGCAGAAAACATCAGCACAAAAATGATATGAGAGACAACAAAGAAACCTTAAAGAAACTTCTGAATGGTGACTGGTCAACAATACTGTGAAAAGGCTTGGAGGGGGGAAAAAGCCCTGTAGTCAGGATCCCAAGCTGCAGCAAAAACCCATGTGGATAAGTGTTCTTAAGCCACTTAATCGGGTACCCTATAGGCCAGCCACCCAAAACACTTCACAGGGATATTATAGTATTGGGAAAAGGTGTAGAAAAGGGCAACTAAAGGGGATGGCACACCTTCCCTATGAAGAAAGGCTAAAGAGGTTAGGGCTCTTTGGCTTGGAGAAACAATGACTGAGGGGTAATATGATATAATTATGCATGGGATAGAGAAGGTAGAGGAAGAAGTGCTTTTCTCCCTTTCTCACAATAGAAGAACCCGTGAGCATTCAATGAAATTGCTGAGCAGATGGGTTAGAACAGATAAAAGGAAGTACTTCTTCACCCAAAGAGTAATTCACACGTGGAATTCACTGCCATAGGAAGTGGTGGCGGCTACAGGCATAGACAGCTTCAACAGGGGATTGGATAAAAATACAGAGCAGAGGTCCATCAGGGGTTATTAGCGACTATGTACAGAGATGTATACTGTTGGTGCTTGGGGGACAACAGTGGGAGGGCTTTGAGAGTTCTGGCCCCACTGGAGGACCTCCTGATGGCACCTGGGTTTTGGCCGCTGTGTGACACAGAATGTTGGACTGGATGGGCCATTGGCCTGATCCAGCATGGCTTCTCTTATGTTCTTAGAGTTGTTGCAAGGATATCATGGATGGAAGAACCATGTAACCCTAAGGTCCTTGGTGAAAGAGTGAGATAATGTAATAAATAAGTCAGTCACAAAGGGCTCACCAGAGCAGGTGGAGTTGGACTCATCTTCATTGTTCCCACAGTCATTGTCCCCGTCACACAGCCAGCGGTTGGGAATGCAGCGATTGTTCTCGCACTTGAAACGGTCCGAGGGGCAGGTGTGCTGATCTGGAGTTTGGGAAAGAGAAAGAAAAGTGTCTTCAGACCTCAGAGTACAAGACCCTTCTTTCTCCACCAATGCATTAGTGTACTCTGAAACTGAGTCACAACTATATTCCTTCCCTGGCAATTAGGAAGCTGAGGCACAGATATGGGAATCATTCTTCCCATGGTGAAAACCAGGACTGTGTATACTATGCCAAAATAATCAACTTTGACAATGAGAGAACTTAAAAATCTATGGGATCTGACTAAACTGACTTAGCTTGACATAATGCAGTCTGCTTTGACTGCTCAGGTTTTTATTTATTTAAAGCATAATTACTGAAAGTATTTGCAGTGTGCCTTTCTCCTGATCTGCCCTAGATCAAAAGTGGGTAACAACAATAATATGAAATACAATAAAACTACATTCAATTGTAATATTCAGAAGTCTACCCCATGTTTTACTATAATTCCAGGGTACAGGAATCTGGAGTAGTTCCCAGACACGTTTTACTTATGACTCTAGATAGGCTTAGGGTTGCCTGGAGAAAAATGTCCTGTCCCTTAACAGAGGATTAATAGAGGAGTAATGGAATGTTATTTATCAGATGCTGTTTTCCCCCTCCATGCCATGAAAAGCTTCCACTGGCCATTTAAACATATTAAGTCCCTGTTAAAGAGACGGGACATTTTTCTCCAGGCCTGCTGGAGACTGGCTGGATCAAGGCAAGCTGCTATGGTGAACTTGGATAACCTTTGTTCGTTTTTATTTTGTACTGTTTGCTTTTTAATAAAGTTATACTCTGTGTACCTAAAAACACTCCCAGCATGTTCCTTAGTGACAGCAGCTCACAACAGGCACAGAGTTAAAAACAAGATAGGTAGCCGTGTTAGTCTGTCTGTAGCAGTAGAAAAGAGCAAGAGTCCAGTAGCACCTTAAAGACTAACAAAATTTCTGGCAGGGCAGGAACTTTCATGATATCTGAAGAAGTGAACAGTGACTCATGAAAGCCTATACCCTGCCACATATTTTGTTAGTATCTGATGAACTAAGCACAGTAAGAATGGGGAAACCAGGAGGGTGGTGGGAAACAGAATCTACAACACTGTGAAATGACTTTTAAACCTTTTTATCCCAGTGTCTTCACTCTGGGGGAATAGTGAAAGAAGGAAAACTGAAAATGGCCGGTGTTGCTCAAAACTCAGATACTGAGGAAAGCAAGGCAATTCAAGAAAACCTTACTTCCTCACAAAAATCTCTAACTGACCTCTTAGCTATTAAAAGGAGGAAATAAAAATGGCAGAGACAGCGTCCACCATTGATGAAGCCATGGGAATTAAGCCTAACTAACCAAGTATCATCCACTGCCACCAACGAATCTTGTAGAGTACCTCCTGCAGAATGGGTTAGTACATTCAGCACTCTTTACCAGGTTACCGCTTCAACACTCTGCTTTTATACCATTCTGCTGCTTTGCCACATGCTATCTAGCAAATGCACTCATGTACACTCGGGGAATGAATGGATCTATAGCTACCCTTTCCTCACAGTCCTCCTTTCAGAAATGTGATTGAATCAGGTGTGACATGGGTACAGAGATCACACTACCAGCATGCAAATTACAGAGACTTTAAAACAAGAATAAAAGCACACACATAGTTTTATACACAGAAGAATGGAACAAGGATTAAAAGAAAATTACAAGAAATCCTCTCATCCTGGTCTTGTCGAGTAGCCCCGCCATGGTGTTTTTGTCCTGACTCTGGAATGTGTAATGCTCTGCAGCTGCTTCTCGCTTCTGCCTCTCATCTAGCCATTGGCCTTGAGTGCTCATGGCTTCGGCACAAAGCGTCTGTTGCTGCCCGCTCACCTCTGAACTGTTAAACAGTTTCCCACCTTCCGCATTAATTGCTTATTGGCTCCTAGGTGTCAGGGGGTGTTGTATGAACCCACTATAATTACTATTGCCATTTTGTATGCCTCATTCCTGACTCAAAGAGGCTAAGTTGACTTCACCTTACTCTGATCAATAAAGCTGAACCTGTTTAAGGACCTGCTGTTGATGCTGAGTTATTGAAGTACCTGACAGGTCTAAACAAGCCCCCCACCCAACCAAATGGAGACTTTAGGATAGGCAAGTAATTCGTGAAGCTGCAGCAGTTATAGTTCATCCATGACCTTGGACCATTGTCTGGGGTTTTGTCCCATTGTTAGCAACTGCTGCTCAAGACAGAATCCATGGGGCCTTCCTAGGAAGGCTTACAGCAACACAGAGTATAAAAGGCAAAAAGAGCAAGAGAGCTTCTTCCTGCTTGACCTTCCTCTTCAGGTCCTTCTTTCTCTTTCTTTTTCAAAGGAAGGAATACAGCATCTTTTGGGTTTCCCTCCTCTCTGTCCCCTAGGTGTGATTTTTTGGTCTTAGGTGTGACCTGGCTGTCTATTGTCCTTCTGCTGGCTAGGGCCATTTACACTTGTAAGGCACTAAATTGCTCTCTGCCTGTAAGAAGTCTCCTTCCCCTTTAGCAACTACACCAATACTGAAATTTAAAAGAATTGATTGGCAATTTGCAGCCATGCATTCTTCAAATCTTGGGGGAACTGCTCTTCTTCTATCCAAGAAAATTCCTTTAGGTATTTCTGATTTTAAGACTGATCCAAAAGGATAATTAAGGGGAAATGTAGAGATATAGCCTAGCCATGGAGACTCTCTGTGTTCCAAATTCTAACCAAGCTGCCTTTATTAAAAAATACCTTACAACTAGTTGAGCAGTTCCTAGATGGCTAGCTCCTTCTAGGTGGTGACTTCAACAGGCTTAAATGCAAAAATACGTAGATAAATAAAACATTAAAGGACAGAAATGCTGAGACTTTCTCTGCCTTTAGTTAAATTGCTTCTTCAATACAGAATAATTTCTGTCCTCCAGAGAACAATCATCCATATTTTTGCTCTTAGGGTACATAACCCCCTTCACTTGTATAGATCTTTATCTTGACCTCTATACCTCTTTTGACAGACATCTCTCAGACATCACCCTGAGGCTATAATCAGATCCTATCAGAGTCTCATGTTTATTACATTCTAAAGAATCGGACGGTTTGGGACCCGAATGGAAACTTAACAGCTTCTTATAACTAAATAATGCTGTCTCGGAGGTGCTTGGCAATGAGACTCTGCAGTACTTTAAAAATAATTTGGACTGCGAAGACTCCCTCTTAAAGGTTTGGGATTTATTTAAAGCTGTGAATTGCAACTAGTGAACTTAGTGAAGCCACAACTGTTAGGAGGCTAGGAACCTGTTACAAACTACACGATTCTTCCACGGGGCCTTGCAGCTATATAGTAGCTGCTAGTTCCCAGTGGCAACTCATGAACAAATGCGCAGCAGGGCCTGATTTGGATCAGGAACACTGTGCAAGAGAAGGAGGCAGCTGAAACAGCCTGGGGGCCAGGGAGGAAGGAGGAGTGTTATTTGCTCTGCCGGGAGCCAGCATGTGAATTAAATGCTTGCATATGCTGGCTCCCCACAGAGAAAATAATGCTCCCACCCCCTGCCTCTGGGCTCTTTCAGCTACCAAAAACTGTACAGGAGAGAAGGGAGGAATTCCTCCTCCTTCTCCCATCCAGCATTCCCAATCCACATCAGGCCCGGCTGCGCATTTACTCACAAGTTGCCACCGGGAAGTAGCAGCTACAATATAGTTTCAAGTCCCCATGGCAAACTGGTGCAGTTAAGCTCTAAGGGAGAAAAAGAAAAGGCAATGATGCGTTTCTTGTAGAAATGTATAAAACTCCTCTTATTCCTCAGTTAAGAATACTGTAAAAGAGAAGGGAAGGCTGGAAAAACTATTGGCTAAAATATAATCACAAAAAAATAATAATTCAGGAAGAGTTTTCTTCATCAAAAATACATTTAGGGTCTTCTTTATTTAAAAGGATCTGAGATTGCAAATTAATTTGCAAGCTACTGTACTATGCAACACTATCTCAGAGTCTCCAAACAGTTTTATAATTAAAACATCTTTGCAATAGCACGTTTGGTGAATACAGGTCCAGCATCCTGTTTCACACAGTGGCCAACCAGTTCCTCTGGATGGCCAACAACAGGGCATAGAGGCCAAGACCTTCCCCTAATGTTGCCTCCTGGCTCTGGGATTCAGAAGCTTAGTGCCTCTAAATGTGGAGGTCCCCCTTAGTCACCAAGGCTAGTAGAAGGGGCAATGACTTCAAACTATACCAAACAATTCCTTCCTAGAATCCACATTAAAAATTTGGGATGGCTGGTACAAAATAATGGCCTCAGGCTTCTTTCTACCTAACATTTTCTGGGACAAGATTCTCTCCCCCCCGCCCCAGTTGCACAGTAAAAAACAGAGTACTATTACCAAAATAAAATTTACAAACATTAAATTCCATGTCTCCAATGCCATCGTGACTTGAAAAGAAGAAAATATTCTTTTATTTAGGGAAGGAGCTTTTAAAAACAAGGGGCTGTCTTAAACACAGATAGGAAGGTAACAAAAATGGCAGGGGCTGTTGAGGGGGGCTGCACTCCCACAACCCAGTTGATTGGGGGCCATCCCATCTCTCTTTGCCACAGGCAAAAGAGCCTGCAGCTGGGTGTTGCAGGTTGGAAGCACTGGCTGCTTAACTTTCTTTCCCGGGGCTTTCTGGCTCGGCCAGAGAACGAGGAGGAAGAGTGCGGTCAGCCTACGTTGTCAGTTGGGGAGGGGGCTAGAAGCTGGAAGCAGTCCCTGTGACCCAGCTGACAGGTGTGCTCTCTTCTGCCTTCCTGGCTTGGCCAGAAGGTGCAGAGGGAGAGAGTGGGGAGTCCCTGGGCCACCTGGGCCAGGGCAGTGGACCAGAGGCCATTACAGTATGTAAATTACAAATTTACAGTATGTAAATTACAAATTTACAGTATGTAAATTACAAATTTACAGTATGTAAATTACAAATTTACAGTATGTAAATTACAAATTTACAGTATGTAAATTACAAATTTACAGTATGTAAATTACAAATTTACAGTATGTAAATTACAAATTTACAGTATGTAAATTACAAATTTACAGTATGTAAATTACAAATTTACAGTATGTAAATTACAAATTTACAGTATGTAAATTACAAATTTACAGTATGTAAATTACAAATTTACAGTATGTAAATTACAAATTTACAGTATGTAAATTACAAATTTACAGTATGTAAATTACAAATTTACAGTATGTAAATTACAAATTTACAGTATGTAAATTACAAATTTACAGTATGTAAATTACAAATTTACAGTATGTAAATTACAAATTTACAGTATGTAAATTACAAATTTACAGTATGTAAATTACAAATTTACAGTATGTAAATTACAAATTTACAGTATGTAAATTACAAATTTACAGTATGTAAATTACAAATTTACAGTATGTAAATTACAAATTTATAATGGCAAGAGCTCATATATCTGGAAAATAGACCCAAATACTTGAGAGAACCCAAATACTTGAGAGACAGACCTTGGTTCAGATCATAAAATGTGATCCTTGCTCCCCTTCACTTCACTTGCCATAGATGTACAAGAACCTCAGTTCGTGCAACTGCTTCTCCCACGAACTGCCCTCGAATCAGTTTGGTTTTCACCAAGGTTCATGCGGTTCGTGGGAGAGGTTCGTGGGCCAGACATGCTGGTGCCTAAGGCATCAGGAACCCTTTAAAACCACGCCCGCATGACTCACCATTGAGGTCAGAAGGCATTTAAACGCCTTCTGAGGTGACCCGGGCGAAACGGGCTGCTGCTGTGGAGTGACTCGAGTGAGCTCAGAAGGCATTTAAATAGGCAAAAAGGACATTGACGTGGTATATGATCACAACTGCCAGAATGACATATGCTCAATGTTGGAAACAAGACAAGGTCCCCAAAATTGGGGAATGGATAAAAAAAACTACTTTTCATGGTTGAAATGGATATAATGACATGAATTACAGATTTACAGTATGCACATTACAAATAGACCCAAATACTTGAGAGATAGTCCTTGGTTCAGATCATAAAATGTGATCCTTGCTCCCCTTCACTTCACTTGCCATAGATGTACAAGAACCTCAGTTCGTGCAACTGCTTCTCCCACGAACTGCCCTCGAATCAGTTTGGTTTTCACCAAGGTTCATGCGGTTCGTGGGAGAGGTTCGTGGGCCAGACATGCTGGTGCCTAAGGCATCAGGAACCCTTTAAAACCACGCCGGCATGACTCACCACTGAGGTCAGAAGGCATTTAAATGCCTTCTGAGATGACTTGGGCGAAACGGGCTGCTGCTGTGGAGTGACACGAGTGAGCTCAGAAGGCATTTAAATAAATCTAAGTTTTTTACCTTTTGCAATGTACTTCTTAGGAGACTTATTTACTGCACTCACTATCATACTTCTATGACTGGGCAAAACTCTGCTACATTCACCAAATGTCCCAATATTTATATCCCACTTTTCTGTTCTCACAAGATATGTGCAATGTTCAAAATTAAAAGTTTCAAGACAGATACATACGGCAGAGCTCAGGGGCCTCATCGCTGTTGTCCAGGCAGTCATTGTCCCCGTCGCATTTCCAGCGCTCTTGGATGCAGCGGTTGTTCTTGCAAGCAAACTCCCCAGGCTGGCACTGAGGGGGCGGGATGTAAGATGGGTTGGCTGTCCACAAACGAAACAAAACAAAGAGGCACATCAGGTGCAGACACGTGCCATAGGAATCAGTGGATCGGATCACACCATCGGAAGGCTTCCCCCATGCTGCCTTTCCTCAACCCTGGGAAAGTTGATTCAAAATTGCTCGCTTCTTTTCTTCTGTCAATTTATTTATTTACTTCATCTACACACCCCACCTTTCTCCCCAGGGGGACTCAAAGAGCCTTACATTATTCTCCTCCTCACTGAGCAAACTTCCATGGCAAAGTGGGGAAGAGGCAGAAAGAGCAATCTTGTCCTTTTCCCCTTTTGTACTACAGTCCCTCGATCTGCATAGCTAGTACCCTGAATGGGTCCCATGACCCCAGAAATAAACTTTCCCAGGGTCAGAAATGACTTCAGAGGGTGCGGAGGGGGTGGGTGTGTGTCCATGACCCTGGAAATGACTGGTAAGACTTAACCACTACACCAAACAGAGAGACTGGAAAGATCCACACCCACACCTTCTGCTTCCATTCAGCTGTGAAACCTAAAGCAAAAAGAGCCATTTGCAAACAGAACTGCCACCATAACCCAGCTCCCATACCTTTAACGACAGCTTAAGACACAGAAATTAAGAAGCAGGTGATGCAGCTCCCATCTCCATGTCTCTGTGCCAAAGAAAGCATCACCTGCTAATTTCCACAATTCAGGCTGTAGTTAAGGACGCAGGAACAGAGCCGATAAAAAAGGTAGCAACTCTATTTGCAAATTCTTACTCTGGCTGCCCCTCCAGTTTCACAGATGAAGGAACTGACAGAATATCAAGAGAATGCCAATCCATCCTGGTGTCCAAGAAATTTGCCTTTTGGCACAGAATAGCAGAAGCCAAGCTGAAAATGAAAGAACAGAAGTGGAGCTCTGATAATGATCCAGTTCCTGAAGAGAGGCCAAAACTAGGGACTGGGAGAAGGGTGGATCCCAGATGGAACAGGCTCCTCTAACAAATCGTGGCCTGGCTCCTTTGGGTGACCGGGACAAGAAATGTTTTACAAAACAAACAAAAATGAGGGGGTTTGTGGCTCAGTGTTAGAGTGGCTTCAAGTCCAATCCCAGGCACTGCCAGGTAAAAGGATAAGGCGAAAGGCCTCTGTCTGAAAATCTGGAGAGCCACTGAGTGTCACGGTAGAGAACACTGACTTGTGATAAAAGAACGGTCTGACTCAGTAGTAAGGCAGCTGGCATCCTATGTTGTTCAAGGAGGGATGACAAAATATCAGGAGGCATTTTGCCTACCCACCTTGTCTTCCAGGCCTGCCAGGAGGTCACAATGCACATACAACAGCCCTGACCTGGGTAGCCCAGGCAAGCCTGATCTCATCAGATGTCAGAAGCTAAGCAGAGCTGACCGTGGCAAGTACTTGGAAGGGTGACCTCCAAAGAATACCAGGAGTCACCAGCAGGGGTCGTTTCGTAGAAAAAGAGCTAGTGGAACTCATTAGCATATGCCACACCCCCTGACATCACCGGAAGTGTGTCATAAGGCCACACCCACCACTCAGTTAGTCTTAGTCTTAAAGGTTAGTCTTAAAGGTGCTATTTGTTAGTCTTAAAGGTGCTATTTGAACTCTTGGACTATTTTGCAGCAACAGACTAACACAGCTACCTCGGGGAAGCTCCTGGATGGGGCTGGGAGTCCTTGCGGAGGCCACGTGGAGTGGCCTCGGCCAGGCAGAGGGGGAGGACGCCAACTTACCCTCCTGCTTCTTCCTCCTTCTGCAACAGAATGAGGCTGGAAGAAGGGGGCGGCCGGAAGAAGGGGCGGGGCTTCGTCGTGTGCCCTGCCCCCCTGCACCTCACCCGGGGGAACAGCGATCCCCCACAAACCCCCCCGAAATGACCTCTGGTCACCAGAGGTCTCTATGACACACACACACATACACACAAATGCAAAAATACCCCCCAAAAAAATGCACAACCTATCATTCTGTTTCTCACCGTAGTCAGTAGCCAATATTTTAGAAGGCATAGAATATAAGCAAATCCAACAGGCACAAGGGAAAGGGTAGCAGGTTATATCAGGCACAGACTGTGGGGTGGACCCAGCATAGAATTTCCTCTTGTGAAGGACCTCCTGTGCAAGCAGAAATGCAACAAAAAGACCACGGTAGCCACTTGTGGTAAGCCACATTTATAGTGTTCTCCATTTGCATTTCCACTTTGTGAGATCTTGGGCAACCAATTTCTGGCCAATACAACATAGAGACGAAAGTGCTTGGGGTTGCACACAATGCTGTGTATGCAGAATTACAATAAGTCCATTTTTTTTCCACCGGATCAATGGATCCAAGCCTGTATGATAAGCCTACCTGCTACTCCAGGGAAATGAAGGGATAACTGATGATCTGGCCTAGTCTCACAGTTTAGGTCTCTTACCCTCAAACACACAGAAATGAAGATGTAACCCCTGATTCTTCCAGGCTGTGAGAACTCTAGGTCTTGTCCACTTAAATATGAAAAGCAAGTCCAATGAAATGACAATTGGCCTCATCTATGGGTGATGGAGAACTGGTCAGAAGACACTTTCAAAGTGAAACACATGCAGTGGTCTAGCTAATCTTACTGCTGGTCACGACGGCTCTGCGACAGGCTGATCTGTCTCTCTGGAGGCCTTTGCCCAACGCCCAATTGTCTGATACTGTGGGGGGAAAGCAGCTTTGTCTGCCATTTCCAGGATACAGAAAGGACTGCTAGAAGAAGCCTTCAAACCCTAAGCAATGGTGACCCTCTAACACTTGCTCCAGCCACAGATGTACCTTGACAGGTGACAGAATCCGGTCCCAAAATCTGGTCCTCTGCACAGGCACACTGTCTGCTTTTGGGAATGGCCAGGCAAAGGCTGCTGCAACCTCCGTTGTTCACTCGGCAGCTGTTGGAGCCAACTGCAAAAAAAGGAGAAGGAATTAGAAGAGTAAGACAACAGTTGTGCAAGGAAGGCAGACTGTCCTTTGATGGTACTCAGGAGGAGCAGGAGGAAATGGGGGTTTATTCTGTGTTACAAAATTAAGTTCAGAAGGACCAGGAACTATTTCAGGGAGAAATAAGAATGGACTGTGGTTTTCTTTGGGTCTCCCCTTTCAATTCTGTGCTCTAATTAAGTCGTTCCTGATCCCTGTTTGCCACAAAACAACGCCTAAATATTTAAGATCAGCACAAACTCCCAAGGTAGGAAATTTCTGATTCTCTTTGCCTCAAAATATAAAGTATTTTAATTCCAGGGACGTTTAATGTACACAGAACTGGCTGGTTCCTTGTAGAACCTCTTCCTCTGAAAGCTTTATTTGATGTTTTTCTCAGTGAACTGCCAATTTCAAGTGTCCCCCCCCCCCATATTTTTTATTTATTTATCCTACTTTCCACCCTTTACGGAGCCCTAGCCACATGGGATCGCTTGACCTCTGAATGGATCCTGTGCAGTGTTCCCTCTAAGCTGAGTTAGTGTGAGCTAGCTCACAGTTTTTTAGCCTCCAGCTCACAGATTTTTGTCTTAGCTCAGGAAGGATGGCTCCAGAGCAAACTCATTTATGCAGCAGCCAAATTGCCCGCTCTCAACTTTAATGCCAGTAGCTCACAAAGTAGAATCTTTGCTCACAAGACTCCACAGCTTAGATGGAGCATTGACCCTGTGTCGCTGGAAAACATGGCTTCCAGTCTGGATACCCCATATAGAGGATTCACTGATGTGGTATAGCTATGCCTTCTCTCAAGCTGGGGAAGCTTCAGTTGGGGTGGGGGGGAGTGTGTGGTTCAGCAAAGAAAGCAGCTGCCTTGCAAACACCAAATCCCTTGAAGTTTTTGGAGGCAGATTTGTTCCCATCGTGCACACTCTGCACGTTAGCGCACTACAGCATGGAAACATGTCAGCTTGTTAAAAGCTAGAGCGCATATTGTGGTTTGCCACATTTAGGCAGTTGCGCACGTGTTTCGCTCCAGGTGGTTTCAAAGCTAGCTCTAGTTGGAAATACTTCGCATCTCTCAGTGCAGCAGCCAGGGGATAAAACATCATTTGCGCACAAACCGCAATCTTCCAAAGGGCAATGAACAATTTGGCCTCTTCTCGAGATGAGGCATCACCTAGTGGTATAGTCTTTCTCAGGGGAGGTCTTAATAATTCTGCGGCCCAGGGCAAAAGTCTAGGATGGGGCTGCAGAATCACTGCCAGCTCCCCTGCTGGTTGTCTACTCCTCCCCACAACTGGGGCCAAGCAAGGGTCTGTCCTTGCCTTGTGTGAGGTGTTGGGAGCTGCCCATGTGGCATCAGTGGCCCAAGCCCCAGTGTCACTGTCATCACTGTCGAGCTGGCAGCTGCGGCCCTGAATGGGGCGGCTATGAACCGTCTCTGCCGTGGAGCGGGCAGCCCGAGCCACAAATATGGTGGGCACAAGAGACAGCAGGAGCCCCTACCCTTCTTCTTCTCCAGTTGCCCACCGATTAAGACCATCCTGTCCTGTTCACATTGCTGTTTATGATCTTTTCCCAGTCCCCTACAGTTCTGGATACCGTCTGGACACTGGAGTTTCTTAGGGTAATCGTTTCATAATGGGTGGGTTCGGTTGATCTGCTATTGCTAGTTATTGTTTTACTGTTTTTATTGCTTGTTGATTCCGTGTTGTGTGAGCTGCCCTGAGCCCATTTTGGGGGCTGTGTTGTGAGCTGCCCTGAGCCCATTTTGGGGGGTAGGGCGGGGTATAAATTTAATAAATAAATACATACATACATAAATAATCCTGAGCAGCATGCCGGACCGTGAAGGGACATGCTACTAAGAGAACTGACAGATATGAAGCCCAGGCTGTACCCTGCAAGCCATAGGCAGCTGGCCCCTAAAGGCCACTCCTGAGACGCATCCCTTTCGATTTCCTTCCTTTACACAGATGCTCTTCACATCATTCTCAACTCACTGGATTCAGCTTCAGCATGCTTTAAGCATGCTTATCTCTTGAGTTTCAACATCTTCTCCAATTGCTGTGTAACAGCCATACTCTTCATGAGTTAAACAATCAAAGCCAAAAATCCCCTCCCTGGCAGTCTTTAAGCAGCGGCTGGACAAACACTGGTCAGGGATGCTCTAGGCTGACCCTGCATTGAGCAGGGGGTTGGACTAGAGGGCCTGTCTGGCCCCTTCCAACTCTGTGATCCTATGATTCTATGCACTTTGAAACAGGGCTCTGTGCTTTGTGTGAAAACCTAGGGCTCCACTGTTCAAAAACTGCCTTTAAGTGCAGCCCTGATGTCACACCAATGCCTGGGAGACCCAGAGATCCCAGATTCAAAATCTGCATAGTGTGCCCTGGCACTAAGGGCACTAAGCGCACGGTGGCTGAGCCTCAAGGACAAGGCCACACCTATCTTGCCACGCACCTTGTTGTTGCTGCGCATCATACATGCGGATCTCAAAGATTGGTGGGCGCTCGTTGCGGAGCAGTGTGACAGCCTTGGTGACCTGGTCCAGCCGATAGATGCTCCCACTCCGGTACTCGGTCCAGAAGAGGAACTTGCCATAGTGGCATAGTCCAAAGGCATGATTCAACTCATTACCATCATAGACAATCTGCATGGAGAGAAAGAGAGACACACAAACATACACAGAGGACCTTTCTATATGCCGTAACTCACCCAAGGGTAGCCAACAAAAAACTGTCCAAATGTCTTTCCAGGCATTACATTTCATACTTTTGTTGTGACGGGATTCCCACCTGCTTCCACAAGGAAGTTCCTCTCCGTTTTGGATTTGGAGCATGCACAAGACGTCACGCTCTTAATTTTCCTGTCCATGGCGCCGTTCATGACCTTTTCCCAGTGCCCTACTGTCCTGGATACTACTTGGGCACTGGAATTTCTTAGGGTAATTATTTCATAAGGCATGGGTCTCAGTTTTACCTGCTATTGATATTTACTGTTTTATTGTTTTTATTGTTTGTTGATTTTATGCTGTGAGCCTCCCTGAGCCCATTTTTGGGGTAAGACGGGGTATAAATTTAATAAATATATGAATAATTGTCCTTTCCTTGCCCTTAGTATGCTCTGGTCCCAGTGTGCTTGGGTACATTCTAAGAATATTATCATACTCTTATTATAGGAACCTCACAACCATTTCCCCACTGTGCCACCAGGGGGCTTTTTTGAGGGATTTTTTAAAAAGGGGTAATTGTTATAGCGCTATAACGCTATGTTCTCCAGTGGTATTGGGTGAGAGGAGCACATGGGAAATGGTGGCCATGGGGGACCGCTGGAGGAAAGTGTGCAGAAAACTCATACATGGACGCTCCGTTGCCAAGGCGCACAGCTTTGCTGGAGATGAAAATAAAACAGAGAATCTTTGCCGTGTGGAAGCAACCCCTGTGTACCATTGTTCACACTGCTCACCTGTGTCCCTGCTCCAGCACTCAGGTGAATAAATACCTTACCAATTTTAAGCACGCTTTACAGACACAGACTTTTTCTTCCTTGGCAAGACAGAACACTTCTTTAATTACACCTCCAATAATTAAAAATGCTAAATTTGCATCCCTCTGCATCTCCCTGTAGCCAGCCTATCACAACTCCTTTTGTGGGGACACGGACAGCCACTACTGCTGTTGGTAAAGCACAGAGTGGAATCAACATTACCCTCTTAGGAAAAGATCATCTTCTGGCATCAGGCCCAAAGACGGGGAGAAGGAATAAACGTAGCTCATTCACAGTCAGCCCAGAAACCCAGGGCCATCAGAAATGTATGCCCGGTATAAAATCGCCTGGCAAGGTACTGGAGTGGGCTGGCAGATGTAAGGTAATTGAAGATAATCTAACAGCATTATTTTTCAAGCGGTGAGTTGTCAGTGCCTTTTGTGAGCATCGCTACAAATCGTATCAATCAACCGCAGCTTTCCAAGCAAAGACAAGCGTTTGCTAAATGCATCCCAATTAATGAGCACAGTAGGCAAGAAAATGTTAATAGAATAATTGGACATAATGAACAATAGAGTGAACATACATCAACCAGTGACATTCTAGTGAAGAAGCTCTCTGCATTACACAGTTAAGGCAACATATTACAACGCTCTGCACTGACTCAATTAAAAGCAGATTAGCGAAGTGTTCTTTTAACAGTTGTAATGTGCAATGTTCAGTATTTGTTTTCTGCTTGCAAGCTGATGATGTATTCGTTTATTACTATCCATGGCCAACTATTCACTTATTTTCTCTCACACACAATGATCTGTACGAACCTAAAGGGGTGTCCTGGAGAATACAATGGTTTTATGATAGGCATTATTTTTGAATTTAGTTTTTAATGCAGATTTTTAAATGCAATATCGTATGTTTCATTGTTTCTTTAATGAACATGGATTGCCCTCCAAACACCCTGGATGTACAATCAGCAGCAAAAGGAGCTTGTTTTTACCATCTGTCTTAGTATAATACAATCAAAAACAGAATTTAAAAAGAGAGGTTTTCAAGATTTGTTAATCTTTTCCATCTGTTGCAATATGCTTCCCCCCCCCCTTCTCTTGCACTCACACTGCCCGGTCAGGAAGGTTCCCAAACTTCTGTTATTCCACAGAATGCGCAAAACAGAATTGTTCAGGAGGGACTGGTGTAGCAGTATAATGGAATGTTCCAGGAGGGTGCTTTTAGAAGGGAACAGGATTGTAGTTTATTGCAATGTTTGATGCACATATCTTTGTGCTTTTATTGCACTGTCTTCTACTTTTGTAATCCATTCTCTGCATTGTTTATGGTATGTCTTGCCTTAGGCCAGGGGTCCCCAACCTTTTCGAGCCCATGGGCACCTTTCAAAATCTGACACAGGGTGGTGGGCGCAAGCACAAAACGGCTGTGATAGGAAGCACTCAAAGAGGAAGCCCAAGTGTAGGGCAGAAGGGGGTAATATAAGAATATACTGGGAAAGAGGACTGAGAGAGAATAAAACCAGCACTTCAGTGGAAATTGCCACTGAAACGATGTCATTTTAATCTGCCAAGCCAATCAGAAGCCTAGCTGTGCCCCTTTCTAAAACTCCTTGGTGGGTACCAGGAAAGGTGTTGGTGCTTGCCATGGTGCCAGTGGGCACCATGTTGGGGACCTCCACCTTAGGCAGGGTGTTTTTTTTTGCATTTTGTACTAATTTATGTCAATCTAGTCTTATTGCATTGTTTACTGGATGTCTTATGCTGTCTGAATGAATTGTCTTTCGCAAAGAAGGCGGGCTACAAATGAAATTAAATGAGTAAAAACCTGTTCATTATATATCTTTGAGTCTCAGCAAAGAAGGCGGGCTACAAATGAAATGAAATGAGTAAAAACCTGTTCATTATATATCCACAGGGTTGTGGTTTTTTCGGCCTTAGAAACGAACACAAAGAATACAGGCAGGTGCGAGTGAGGGAGATGTTATCATCACTGACCTTGCGTTCTGTGCCGTTCAGCAAAACCATCTCAATCCGGTCGTAAAATGCATCCACCCAGTACAGCACCTTTGCCGGAATATCCAGACTCAGTCCGTTGGGCCACAGGACTGTCTTGGAAGTGATAAAGACGTTCCGGTTGGTGCCATCCATCCAAGCCCTTTCTATCTTCCCCCTCTTGCTATCTTTTGGGTCTTCCTCCCAATCAGTCCAGTACATCCACCTGAAAGATAAGTTGCAGTGTTCATTTATTCTATTATTATGTTCAGTGACTCGGAACAATGAATCCCCCCAGGGCTGAATAGGGACAAAGGGTTCTTATCTCACTATGGATGCCAGTTTTCTGCCCCTAAGCATTTCTGCCCTGCTCTAACCAAACTGATTACATTTTGCATCGTACCTCTGCATCCCGACTCCTTTCTATGCAGCACTTCTCCCACCTTCAGACTGAGATATAAGGACTCTGAGATCTGCATTCCTACTTCCATCTGACGAAGGGAGCTCTGACTCCCAAAAATTCACATCTCGAAAATCTTGTTGGGTCTCAAAGGTGCTACTAGACTTAAATTAGCAGTTCAATCATCCCGTTAATGTTTTTTTACATATAGTGCTTCCGATGAACTTAAGTAGTGTTATGGACAACAGAATTATTTAGAATAAATACTGGCTGCGGTCACACGGAACATTAGCCACGCTAGTCAGACGGAAGACATGCGGAGTTTTCGGACGCGATCTCACCGGCACATCTGGGAAGCGTAGCACTCCCGTGGCTCAAACGAGGCTTCCCGCCGAAACCGCGCAGCAAAAAACTAGTACCTCGGAGGTACTAGTATCCGGAAACCGCGGGGCAAGGGCGGGCGTCTGATCGCGTTTCCGGTGGCATCCGGCGCCCGCCCATGTTCCCTTCCGTGCGAC